AAGGCACCAGCTTCGAAGTTCTCACCCCAGCTGTGCCTCCCAGCAGCGCAACCCTGGACTGTCCCACCTGGAGTCATGAAGACCCCCTAGGATTGCACGTAGGAAGCGCTAGGTCCATGTACCAGCTCTGCGGTCATTGCTACTGAGCTCTGCGGAAATCGCTGCTCAGCTGCATCAAGCACTTAAAGGGCCACATGCAGGTGGCTCCAACCTCACAGAGACCACGTCCCTTGCTGCAGACCTCGAGCTGCTCTTCTCCTGATCACAGCGGCCCCTGAAAGCCCAGAGGATGAGACACGCTCGCTCCTAAGCACCATCTGCCCTAAAGTTCTGCGGGTCCCACAGTCCCGGGAACTCCTGCGCAGAGGACTGACGTGAAAGGGGCTCAAAGCCTTGAGCACTTCCTTAGCGAGGGGCAGCCTCGGGGTCTGCAGGGGACCCTGCTGACAAATTCTAACCCCGTGGCCTGGAGTGCGGCCGGCTATCTCTGCGCTTTTACAAGCTCTGAAAGAGACCCTGATGTGCACCCCTCAGTGAGAACCACCGAACCAGAGAAATGAGATGGTGCCCGTCTCCGGCACAGGCTGACTGGAAGAGCGCACAGAGAGTAGAGGGTGCGGGGCGGCGGGAAGGGGGGCTAGAGACCTTTCCACTGGAATCGTGTCCAGTGGGAGGGGGTTGCAGCCCCGCTGACCTTCCCAGCCGGAGCCCCTCCTGCCCCTGCACCGCTGGTTGCCAACGCCAGGGACTTCAGACATGAGGTCGGCCCAGAGCTGTGCGTCCCCGCCAGCCCCTGCCTGCGAGCTTGAGGTTTCAGCTACTACTTGACCACTTGGGCTTCGGCCGCCTTGTGTGACTGAAGAGCTATGGCCACTGGAATGAAGCGAAACCCTTTTTCCTTGCCCTTGTGTTGCTGTGGAGCCGGCTGTCCCACAGAAGGGCGGTGTGAGCTCACAGCCCACTGGGCCTCTGTCCTCCAGGGCTGTGGTCCTGGGGAGAATTCTCGCTGGGCCTCCTCTTGGTGACCGGAGGGTCCGTCCCTGGCCAGGGTCAGTGGGCACGGAGACCTACAAAGCCCACCCGGCCCTTCATTCCCCTCTGTCTCTTCTCGCTCAGTCACTGTGGTTTGCTGTCCTTTGAGTCCCCAGCCCTGTCCCTCTGAGGAGGGAAGCCAAGCCTCAGTGGCAGCCCATGGTGTCCCCTGGTGGTTACAATGCCCCTCACTAAGCAGACATCACCTTTGGCCACAGGCCCATGGGGTTGCCATGGCAGCACAGGTAGCTTGGTCCTAGGGGTATGTTGTGGCCTCATTCCGGCTGCCCAGGGTCCCCAGCCCCAGCCTCTTTCCCGGATCCTCTCAATAGGCTTACGGCACCCTGGCGCCAGCCCACAATGCCTGTTCTTCAGTTTAGAGTAACTTTGTCTTGGTCGTCAAAAAGCGGCTTGAATAGATCAAGGAATAGATCAAGCCATTCCTCTCTGCAGCAAGAGGCTCCTCTGCAGCCTTTCATTGCTCTCAACATCAGAGTGCTTGGCAGGGCCACCAGGACCTCTGAGCTATGGCCTCAGGTTCCTCAGTGACCTCAGCTCCCTTACACCACTCCAGACACACTGCACTTGTCACTGTTACTAACAGACACCAAGCAGCTGCTGCCACAGGCCCTTTGCACATGCCACTGTCCTGTCTGTCCCCTGATCTCTGGACCACAGGGCACCTAGCTTGGCAGCACTGCACCCTACCTCTGCATTGGTACCTGGCTTTGTCTTTCTTTACAGCACTTTCCAACCCCTATTTTTTGTCAGTTCAGGATCTGTCTTCCCCAGGAGACACCTCCAGAGACGGGGCAGGCAGGGTTTCTGCACCATACCATGCCATTTAAGCAAGTGGACACTAGACCTGGGCACAGAGCCCGGCCTTGCTGGCCACACTTTGTGGCACTGCACAAGCCACCTGGCCACTGTGAACCTCGCTGTGCTGTCTGCAAGCAGAGGGGACAGGCCTGCCGGGGACGGTGGGGAGGATGCGGCAGTGCGCAGCGCCTGGGGCCCGGGCACACACAGTTGCTGACATCTCCTGCCCGTTCCTGTGAGCACTGCCGTCCGCACGGCCCCGGCTCCGGCTCGCGAGCGCCCACACACTTCTGGGGCCCCTGCCATCCTGTCACCTGCCAGGGACCCTGCAGTGGCCCCTGGAAATGACTCCGGCCGGGGGCGAGCAGGGAATTCGGTGCCACAGACGTGATGACGCTGCGCAGCTGCCACACGCAGCCAGCCCCTCCCGCCTCCCCCTGTGGTGTGCTGCGGAGCCGTCCTCCCCTCCCCCAGCAGTCGCTCAGAGCAGGGCTCCCGAATTCCTCAGGGGTGCCCCTGGTGCGCACTCCAGAAGTGTAAAAAGATTCACAGCTCTGCTGAGCTTTGTTTCTTTAAGCAGGCTGGAAGATGGATGGGCCCATTTCTGAGACTTTGGGGGAAGGAGATATGCTGTCCATTTCAAGCCCGACTGCCATTAGTCCGATGCTCGGACACCTCCCTCAGTGTGTCGTGCACGGCATTTTTCCGAGGACAGGGCCAGCAGATCTGCACAGCATCGAGTGCCCAAGCAAAGCCCTGGGGGGCCAGGGACAGAAAGACCCTGTCCCTGCCCTCTAGGCTTCCTGTGCCATGACTTGGGGGACCGTGGGTGGCGTGCACAGGCTGTCCGCTTCACCAGCTCAACGCCAGTGTGGTCATCGGCTGGGAAGTCTGTGGGCTCCGCGTCCCCTCCTTGGCTAACGGAATAAGACCTTTGCTCAGTTTACACTTGTGACTCGCCGCAGGAAGACAGGGTAGCCGGTCCATGGAGAGCACAGACAGGATTCTGATGAAATTTGGCCCTCTTGGCAAGCTGCACCCCAATAATGTGAAGCATCATCTCGGGGGTCAGGACTGCCCCCTCGGAACTGGGTGCATCTGGACAGCCAATTATCAAGCAGCATGAAAGTTTTTAAACTGACCACCCCTTAATAGGGACCAACCATGACAGAGCCGCCAGCACACAGGCCCGGAGTTCTTTGGGCTCAGAAAAAAAGTAGGCTCAAGTCGCAGTTCTGCCACTTACTAGCTGTGTGACTGTGGGTTATTTATGGCTTTCTCTAGACTACAAATCCAACAGCAATGAGATGTCAGTACCTTCCCGCAGGGTTATTTTGAGGATGGCAAGAAGATAAGGGGACTCGGCCCGGGCCTTGCTTGTGGAAGGCACGCAGTAAATGACCAGCGTTTGTCAGTCACTTGCCACAGAAATACGGGATCAAATCTTTAAAAGCTAAGAGGAGCCCTTCCCTACCCAGCACCTCTCAGACCTGTGTGCAATATGGGGTCCAGGTCCAGGCTTCTTGGGTTAAGGTAACTAGAAAGTAACCAGGTCACCGAGACCTCAGACAAGGATTTGCGCAGAGCCGGCCTGAGAGTCAAGCTCCACAGCGATATACGTGCACCCATTTTTATAGCAGCACAATTTGTTGTAGCTAAGTCTTGGAAACAACCCAAATGCCCATCAGCCGAGGAATGGATACAAAAGATGTGGTATTTTTATACAGTGGAGTATTACCCAGCTGTAAAGATAAACTCGAGGCTTTTATAGGTAAATGGATGCAACTAAAGACCACACTCATAAGTGAAATCAATCAGACACAAATGTGTGAATGTTACAATCATATTGTCTCCCTAGTGTAAGAAACTGAAAGAATAAATAAGATCCAAAAGGTACAATAGATATTATTGGGGCTGGGGATTTAGCTCAGCGGCACAGCGCCTGCCTGGCAAGCGCAAGGTCATGAGTTCAATTCCCAGTACTGGAAAAAAACCAAAAAAAAAAAAAAAGGGGGGGAAAAGGTGCAATAGATTTTATAAAAAGAGAAAGAAACTGCTCAAAAGGAAAGAACAGCTGGGATAGGGGAAAGGAGAAAAGAAAGAAGGGGGGAATATATATATATATACACACAAAATAGCTAAGATAATTGCACTGCTAAATTCTACTAGTATTTCTATTTCATTGAAAGGAACAGTTAGCACTTATATTGCTTGATCAATTTTGCATGCTTATATCTGGTAATGTGAGCAACTACTTTGAAGATAACAATATGCAATATAATAACCATTGTTAATTTCCTACCACCTTGCTTTGAAATTCTATATCGTTTTTATTATTTTTTTCTCTTTAAAATAAAATAAAGTAGTGAGCTCCCCGTCGTGGGAAATATGTAAGCAGAAAGCGGATGACCACCTGCCGGAAAGGCGGTAGAAAGAATTTTCTAATCCAAGCAGTTTTTTAATGCAACCACACAAGCCTGGATCTTGTTTGCCGCATGACTTGGGCAGATTCAGCTCCAGGAACCAGAGCTGAGAGGATTCTTTCGGCCCTCTCTGGGGCAAAAAGCAGGGCGCCCTGACTTCTCAGAGGTCCTTGGCAGGCAGAGAAATGCAGACGCCGCGGAGTACTGGGAGCTTGCACAGGGGCTGAGCATGTGGCCACACTGGGACACCGGCACCGTCGCCCTTGTGGGGCGACCCAGGGCGGCCACCAGTGGTCCCTGCTGAGTGCCCAGCCCTCCCCAGGCTTTGCCCCGCCCTGTCGCCGAGGCGTGGGCCAGCTGCATAACCACTTGTCCTGGGCCCATCAGCCTTGAGAATCAGGGCCTAGAGGAAGCGAATGATGGGGGACGGGAGGCCAGAAACTCCCCAGAAAAACGCGGGGTGCTTGGGAGATGACGTCTTGGTCTGCGAAGAGCTCTTCCCCAGAGAGGGCGACGTGGAGTCTGACATCACCCCCGGGACCCGGGAGGAGATGAGTGAATGCAGTCAGGGGATAGGAGAGGTGGGGATGCTGCCGTCCAGAGGTCCCCAGAGGTACCCCCCTTCATCCTGAGGTGTGCTACAACGCCACCCTCTGCCCTAAAACCGCTCTTTCCCTCTGCCTTTCCTCTGCGCTGGAGTAACCCGCCGGCACCTTCCTCCTGCAGGAATCTCAGACAACACGGCCGCACCCCCGGGGCCAGACCGGCAGGAGGAGCAGCTCCGACTGCAGCTGGAGGAGGAAAAGAGGAGGTGCCCTTCTCATCCGCCACGCACAGCCCGCCCGCTGCCTCCAGGACAACCTGGAGCCCCCGGGGCTGGACCTCCAGGGGAAGTGGGTCCCGCAGCCCAGGCTGAAACCGCAGGAGGCGGGCGCGCCGCCTTGGGGCAGGGCCTGGGCAGGGGGCGCGAGGCACAGCCCAGCCTCCCGCGCAGGCCGGGAAACAACCCGCGCAGCCTTGGGTGCTGCTGCCCCCTGGAGGAGGCGAAGAGCGCGACCCCAGCCTCCCCCGCTTCCCTGGCCGCCTTGGGAGCGTCAGACCCGCACGCAGTCACTTGGGGCCCAAAGCACGATTTTCCTTGCAGAGTGCGGAGCTGCAAGCAGGCGGCTGTGCAGAATCCCCCCGCAGCGCGAGCAAGCGCTGCAGCTCATTTCGGCATCTGTGCGCCTGGCGCGTTTGCTAGCCCCGCACCAGAGAGAGGTTCTGGGGACACGGCACAGTCACCTGCTCTGCATCCTCCACGCCAGCCCTGTGCATGAGCCCAGGGGCGCAGGGTCAGACTGGGCAACACACTGGCCCCGTCTCAAAACACAACAACCGTACTGTAGCTTGCGGTTCTCATCGTGAAGTTGAACCAACGCGGTAGTGAGGCGGCTGAGACTGCGGTCCGAGAGCCAGCCCACCCGGGTTCGGATCCTGGCGGCTCCGTTCGCTCTGTGCTCTTAGTACGTGGCGTGGCTTCTCCGTGCCTCGAGACCGGAACCCACGCTTGGGAGATGACAGTGGTCACGTCCTCTTCCCTGCAGGGAGGAGTGAGGGAGTCTGTCCCCTGCCTGACCCCTAAGTGCTCCGGGGAAGAGGGTTCCCGTTCTCTCCATCCCACACACAGATCCTGCGGCCACTGGACAAAAATGTCTCGCCCGGCTAAGCCTGGCCTCGGTCCTAGGTACCAAGGCAACGCTGCCCCGCTTCCCACAGAAAAACCCAGGCAGTTATAGCGCCCTCTCTAGGTAGCGGCCCTCCAGACTGCAGTCATGGCCTCTTCTCTGATCCCGCCGCAGGTACAAAACAATGTTCACGCGCCTCAAAGCCCTGAAGGTGGAGATCGAGCACTTGCAGCTGCTCATGGACAAAGCCAAGGTCAAGCTGCAGAAAGAGTTTGAAGCCTGGTGGGCAGCAGAGGCCACCAGCCTGCAGGTATGTCTGGGGACACCGGGCCGTCAGGAGAGAGCGGGGGTGGGGGCTCCAGCCCTAGGCCATCCGCTCTGGGCCCCGGGATCAGGTCAGCAGAGGCAGCTCTCCAGGCCTAGGGCTGAGCCCCCATCGCTTTGAGGAACAAGCTCCGGGGATGGCATTCTGACATTTACTCTTTCCCTGTCAGAGTCTCATATATATGCATTTAATTAGAAGAATCGTCGGGCATGGTGGTGCACGCCTGTGATCCCAGCACTTGGGAGACTGAAGCAGGAGGATGATTGCGAGTTCGAGGCCAGCCTGGGCTACAAAGTGAGCTCAAGGCCAGCCTGAACTGCATAGCGAGACCCTGTCTCAACAAATAAATACATAAATAAACCCTCCCCTTAAAAATAGCAGTATTAGCATGTTGGCTTGCATTGTTTTATCTTTTTTTTGCTGCATGTACATAAGTATGTGTTATAAGAATAGAACCGTACTGCTCTTCAGGAATCACAAAACGCTTATTCTTACTTAATTGTTTAGAGTGAAATTTTTTCATATTGTTATTCTAGATCATTCCAGCCTGTTACCATCCCATCATAGGAATACATTTTAATGAATTTAATCAAGCTGTTTTTGAGTAGTTTGATATTTCCTAGTTTTTTACTCAAAACATATCTGTAAATAAATATTTGCATAGTTCCTAGATAGATCCCTGACAAGTTTTATTTTATTATCCTGAAAGTGAAAATAACCTGCTGAGAAGTAGTACAGACCGTCAGGTTCAGCGGTCCTCAGGTAACCCCTCAGTTGTGCTGTGATCAAAGTGACAAAGGACACACTGTCATGTCACCTGTGTGGCTGCCGGGACCCTCTGAGATCCCCTCTAAGGCTGATCCCTTCATTTTAAGGACAAGGACACTAACAGCCAGGGAAGGTATTAGCCCAAGGGTGCACAATAACCACGAGGTCACTGCTGCCTCACCACGTGGCCGTGTGACAGGGCTGTAGGAGAAGCCATTTGGATCAAATTAAACGCACCAGATAGCAAAAAATTTTAAAATGAGGTTGATTTACAGGTATCCAAGTAGTTTAAAAGCCAAGTTATGATAGAAGACACCATGTACCACTTCATACATGCATTAACTACTGAAATCTAGGCATTATATTATCAATAAAATAGCTTCAATTTTGCCATAATTTCAAAGTCATGATGAACACAGTTATGTCAAGATTTCTGCACAAAGGTGATAATATGAGAATCTATGTGACGTGTCCTGGGGACAAAGTCATGGGTACTGCTAACACTACTGTGGTTTTTTGTCTTTTTTTTTTGAGACAGGGTCTCACTATGTTGTTCAGGCTGGCCTTGAGCTCACTTTGTAGCCCAGGCTGGTCTCGGACTGGCAATGGTCCTCCTGCCTCAGCCTCCCGAGTGCTAGGGTTATAGACGTGCGCCACCATGCCTAGCTGTTGTCTTCATTAATTTCCAGTTGAAGTTAGGGTCGCTAAAGATGCAAAGGTTTCCATCCGTGTCCGCACCTGCAGGCTTCAGTCTGTGGGCTCCAAGTCACCAGCGAGTGAGGCCTGCAGCTGCATCTGGTCCCCAAGAGAGGCTCAGGAAGTGTCCTGCAAGGCTGACATATCCACACAGGTTACTACTTACTGAGACACTAGAATAGTAGCCAAGGATGTCAGCTCCAATGTCCCCTGTCCCCAGATGTCACTGAAACAAAAGGGGTCAGACGATGGTGAGGCGGGCAGCGTAACACCTCCCCCAGGAGAGCTGATTCTGTGCTGCCACCAAGCTTCACAGCCTGTGCTACCAGCGCATCCTGAGTAGGCTGAGGCAGGAAGCCTCTGAGCTCATCAGGACAGACTACTCATGGTAGCCCCACGGGAAATCAGGAAGCAAGGGAAATCACCCGCTACCTTCCCATGCTGCTCACAAGCTTCCCCAGCTCAGTGTTCCTCAAGGGTCTCCAGGCATCCTGCCAAGATGTGTCTTGGCGGAGACAGAAGCAGTGCCCACCCGGCCTGCTGAAGACCCACAGGCTTCCCAGGACCCCGTAGCAGAGCTATGCCCTGCAGGAGTTGCTCAGTGTTGCCGGGAGACCATCTGTGGGCAAGGATACGTGAACTCAGAAGGGATTCCTGGAGAACTGTCAGATGACATCACACATCTTTTTATCTACAAAAAGTAATACATGTTCAATTCAGAAAACTTGGTACAGAAAAGCACAAAGAATATAAATCAAACATCTCATAATACTACCATCCAAAGATGGTATTCAGATGCCTGACATTAGAATCATAAATGCATCTGGACTTCAGTTTTGCCATATACACTGTACGTGCCAACTTTTATAACTGGCTTTTCCTCCCTATGAATTACATCACAAACATCTTCCTGTGCCGTTAGATTCAGGCTAACACTCTTCCCGATCCAGCAGGTACATTCTCCAGCAATGAATCCTCTGGGTCCAGCGAAGACTTCTCCCCAGGCTGCCGAGCCCCAGCAGGACTGGTCCCAGCTTCTGGCTAACAGAGGGTAAGGAGAGACATTTGGGGACCCAGGAAAAGTGCTCTTCCCCTCTCCTTACCCCATCCTCCCCTCTCAGAGGCTCCACGATCCCAGCGGAGGCCCTGATGTTGCTGTTTACTTGGTCTTAGGTACGCAGGCAGGTCGCTTGCAAGTTTGCTTAGGGCACACCTTTCAGTCCCTGCTCTGACAGCCAGGAGACCCCTACCGTTATGGCTATCTCTAGCCACCCCCGCAAAGCCTCACGCAGCCATAGGTGGGGCTTTTTGAGGTGGCTGGACCTAGAGTGTGTGACTGATTCACGGTGTAATGCCAGGATCAAGGGCACTGGGATTAAGGGTGTGGATACAATATAAGGACTGAAAGACGCTTGCTGCTAGCTACCCGTAGCTGGTCACTTGCTTGCTTTTGCTGTCTTCTGCCTGCATGGACTGTCTCTCCTCTGCGATGCCACCTCGTCTTGGAGCCAGCCGATTATGAACTGAAACCTCCCCAAACCCTGAGTTAAGTAAACCGTTCCCCCTTTAATTCTGGGTAGCGGGCATCTTGTCTCAGCAACAAGGAAAGTAACTCAGACGCCCGCCGTGCTGACAACAGACAAGAGACTCCACTTCCTTGGCAGGAAGAGGAAGAGAGTGCCTCGGGGCGGGGGAGGGGAGGCGGGCTGGAAGTAGCGCAGAGCCCGGGTGTGGACTCTTTGTCCTAGCGAGGATGTGGGAGAGACGTGGGCAGCCTCCCGATGCCACACAAGGGCAGGCCAGCGCCCACCGCCCTAAATGATGAGGTGTCTGCTTCCCACACCCCGCTCTTGTCTCTCGCTGCTAGAGCCCATGCCACACGCCCCTGCCACCTCCATCCCCCGGGCCACGGACCGCCAGGGAGAGGCCAGGGCAGCACAGGTGCGGTGCCCATCTCTGGATGCCCCCCAGGAGCGACCCGGCCCTCAGGTTAGAAAGGCCGCTGAGGCCTCAACGGGAAGTGTGCGGAAGAGCTTTGGAAGCAGAGAGACGCCAGCGGTGTCGCGCTGTGAGGTGCGGAGACGGGCACTGTGCTCACCTGTGTGTGCACGCGATGCTCTGGGCCCGTCGCCCCCGGTGAGGCAGGAAGGAAACATCAGCCAGCGACATTCTGCCGCACACTCACGAGGTCATCAGAATCAAGGCGTCTGAGGTCACAGCCAGGAGCAGTCAGAGGAGCCGTGACATCCAAGTGTCAGGTGGCACCCCAAGCAGGAGCAGGAAAAGCCGCCAGGCAGAAATTAAGAGACGCCTAATGAAGGGCGCGCCTCGGTTAGCATCCCGCATCACCATTATCGTGCTGGTGCAAAAGTGTGCACGGGGCCGGGGGTGTGCAGTATGTGCGAACTCCCTGTGCTGTCATTGCAACTCAAGTGAAAATCTAAAACCTCGTCTGCCAGGTGTGGTGGTGCACGCCTGTAATCCCAGTACTGGGGAGGCTGAGGCAGGAGGATCCTTACGAGTTCGAGGCCAGTCTGGGCTACAAAGTAACCTCTAGGCCAGCCTGAACTGCATATCCTCTCTCAAAAAAAGACAATAAATAAATAAATAAATAAATAAATAAATAAATAAATAAATAAATAAATAAATAAATAAATAAATAAATAAATAAATAAATAAATAAACGTCTTTAACCTAAAACACCCCCAGAAAGGCTTATCTGGAATATAAATAGGCCCGCCGTGGAGGTCCTCTTGCCAGGCAATAATTCCCACATTGTCAGCTTGCTTTCCAGCTTCAGGAAACACAGCCCGGGGGTCCTCCTCAGCCCAGGGACAGCCAGAGGCCAGGGCATTTTGTTCGCTACAGGGGTGTTTTAAGTAGCAGTGTCAGTTCACAGGAAAAAGTACTGATCAGTTGGACTTCATTTAAATTTTAAGTGCTGCTTTGTTAAAGATACTGTTTAGAAAATGAAAAGACAAACTGGGCTTGGTAGCACACGCCTGTAATAATCCTCCAAGGCTGATGCAAGAGGATTGAGGTTCAACCCCAGCCAGGGCAATTTAGCAACTTAGAAGTGAGACCCTGTCTCAGAATTAAAAAGGACTGGGGATGTACGTAGCTCAAGGCAGAGGCCCTGGATTCGATCCCCACTACCACGAGAAAGAGACAGGAAGGAAGGAAAGGAGGAAGGGAGAGAATAAAAAGCCAAGCTACAAGGGGCTGGGGATTTAGCTCAGTGGCACAGCGCTTGCCTGGCAAGCGCGACATCGTGAGTTCAATTCCCGGTACCGGAAAAAAACACAAACAAAAAAAGCCAAGCTGCCGATTAGGAGAAAATACTCACAAAACACACATCTGTAAAGGGCTATACCCAAAACACAAAAGGATAATAAGTTCAACAATAAGAAAATAACTTCATTATTTCACTCAACTGAGTGAAGGCTCTGAACAGCCACTTAGCCAAAGTGACACAGATGGCAAATAACTGTAGGACAAGATGCTCAACACTCTCTGTCGCTGGGGCAGTGCTGCTGATTAAAACGATATACCACTGTGTTCTGTGAGAGCAGCTAAAGTCCACAGCGCTGACCACACCACACCATGTACTGTGAGAACAGCTAAAGTCCACAGCGCTGAGGATGTGGAGCAGCGGGACCCCAACCATGCTGGGGGGAATGAAGATGACAGGACCACATTGCCAGGCAGCATAACAGATTCCTACAATGCTAAATACAGTCTCACCTCAGAGCCCAGCAATCACACCCCAAGATTTTTATGCAAATGAGTTGAAAACTTATATTCACACAAAAACTGGGACATAATTACTTATAGCAGCCTCATTTATAATTGCCTAAAACTGAAAGCTACCAACATGTTCTCCAACAGATGAATGGATAAATGACTGACTGTGGTATGTCCATACAATGGAATATTACTCAGCAATTAAAAATGAGCTATTGAGCCATGAAAAGACATGAAGAAATCTTAAAAGCATATTGCTTGGCGAAAGAAGCCTATGTGAAAAAGCTACATAATACCTGATTCTGACCATATGACCTTCTGGGAAAGGTGAAATTATGGACTCAGTGGAAACTGCTTCACTCAGTAGGGACTCAGTGGCTAGCACAGATTTACAGTGAGGAAAGAATGAACCCCGGGGCCACTGGAACTGTCCCTTTTTTTTTTCTTTTTTGCAGAACTGGGGCAAGTACTAAACCAAGGGTCTTGTCACTGAATTACATCCCTGGCCCCTTAATTTTCATTTTGAGACAAGTTCTAAGTCACTCAGGTCTCCAGACTGGTCTCCAATTTGCTGTCCTGCCTCAGCCTCCTAGAGTTCTGAGATTACAGACTTGCACCATCACCCCCAGCTGGTGAAACTCCGCTATTAAGATACCGTGCTGGTGGATATATGATATCATGCCTTGTCCCAGTCCACAGGTCCTCACAGCACCAAGAGTGAACCCCCATATAAACAAAGGGCCTAGTTACCTGTAATATATCACATCACTATTGGCCGTTCACTTTTGTCACTTAACCTCGGTGATGCCGGATGTTCTGCATAGGGAAAATGGGGTGGGGGGGGGTACTGAGAACTCTGTACTATCCGCTCAATTTTCTATAAACTTAAAAGTAACTTAATGAAAAACTAGGAAGGCCATGTTACTAGGCAACCATATGCTCCATGGCAACAGGAGCATCCAGCCGGCAACAGAAGCATCAGTGGAAACACCGGCACCTGGCCACTGTGTGCTGTGCAGTCCCTTGTGCACCTGCCACTTCGGGAGGCGCTAGAGTTGGCTGAGCAACCTTGTCCCCACATCCGGCCCTGCCCTGAGAGCCCCGGGTGGCACAGGGCACTTGGACCAGCCCTGCCAAGAGGACGGAGCTGCCCCGGCCACAGCCACCGGCACGGAGAACCAGCGCTTGCCCAGCCAGGGCTCTGAGCCCCGCACCCTTCCCGGCCTTCTCCTCGTCTCTCGCACAGCTCCTGCCGCTAGAAAGACCCTGCTCCAAAATAGCGACTCAGCCCCAGCTCTGCTTCTGCTGAGCAGCAGTGCAGGGGGCGGATGTCCCGGTGAACACTCACTAGATACGAGGCTCGAGCGGACATAGGCTGCACTTGCCGAGAAATCCTTAACCTGGATCAGCCAGATCCGGCTCCCAGAGCTCCTCCCCAGCCCCTGTTGGTGGCCAGAGGGCCTTCCTGGGGCATCTGGCCCTGGCCAGAGACAACTGAGCATCCTGAACGGTGCTTAAGACACCCTGGCAGTGGCCTGGGAGTTTAGCTCAGCAGCACAGCGTCTGCCTGGCAAGCGCAAGGTCGTGAGTTCGATTCCTGGTACTGGAAGAAACCAAAAAAAAAGAAAGACACCCCGGCGGGCTCCCCCATTCCGGCCCTCCCCGCCGTAGTTTGAATGCCAGGATTTGTGAGTGGGGAGGGCCTGCTAGACAGCAGAGAGAAGTGTCCCGCCGGGGACCGGACAGGGAGGGGCCAGGGCCCTTAGAACGGCGGCCACAGGAGCCCACAAAGCGCTGCCTGAGGAGGCAGGAGAGCCTGTCACCCGGCACCGAGGCCTCAACTCTGTGAACAGCCCACGGCGGCAGCCCAGGGGTGCTGCTTCTGAGTCCCCCGAGGCCCCTGCACCGGCTTGTCACGCAGTCAGGCACCCCCTGCCTCCACGGGCCCTGAGTGGGTGTCAGCATCAGGGCTTCACTGTCCCCACCCTGCAGGCGGGGAAACTCGGGTGCAGGGAGCTCAGGTCGCTTGCTCAGGGCCACCTGCCAGTGAGGGCGAGGACTGAACCCCGGCCTGTCAGAGGCTGGGCCCCGTCCTCACCGCCGGTGTCGGTGTGTGCGGCGTTAGCACATGCTTTTGAGGACATGGTTACAGGGTGCTCCGTAGGAGCTGGCGTCTCCCGCCAACCTGCGACCATGTTTCACACAAACGGTTCCCCGCACAGCCTTCCCCGCGCCAGGCCCTCCTGCGCGGGCCTCTGCTCTCTCCCTGTGCCCATGCAGCCTGACCGTCCCCGGGGCCAGGGTCCTCACACAGCCCCTGTGCTGCCACCTTCTGAGGCCTGGACAGCTGGACCCCGGGGCGGGGCCCTCGCCGCGCAGCCGAGCCCGGCCCCCTCCAGGAAGGAGACAGGCCCCGAAAAGGACGGAGGCTTTCCCAACGGTGCTGCTAATAATGTGAAGAGCTCACAACTAAACCCGAACCCCAAGCTGCACGTTGCAGGGCTGCCTCCCCCTCCTCCCGCTCCCTGCCTGCCGCCCCAGCTCCGCTCCTCCGGCCCTTCTGTCCCCCTCACCGCCTCCCGCTGTCCCTCCGCGCCCACCTCTGTCCCCTTGTGCCCCGCATCCTTCCCGTGTCTGTCTCCTACAAGCCAGGGTGGCCATGTGGCTGTGCCGCCACCAGCCTGGGCTGCCATGAACACAGGTCTGAGGATGAGCCTGTGGCCCGGCCCCCGGGGTGCTCCTGGGACATCCACCCTCAGCCTCCTGCTGCTCCCCACGGCACCCTACGGAGGACAGGGCCACCTCCGCGGAGTCCCCTGGTGGAGCCTCTGGCAAAGGCTGCGCTGCGCGGCTGCTAGCCACAGCTCTCCCCCCAGCTTGGCCTTGGGCCAGCGGCTCCCCACGCTGGGGTCCCTCGCCTCAGCTGTCAGATGCACAGGGTCCCCGCAGCCCACACCACCGTGCTGTGAGCAGGCCAGTGGGCAGGGCCACTCGGCAGCCAGCCGCTTCCGCCCGAGCTCCGGGCCGCTGGCTCTGACGCAGGGACTGGCCAGAGGCCGCCCGCAAGGCCCGCTCGGCCGGGCAGCAGGGCCTAATCACCCTCAGCACCGCGCGGAGCCCGCGTCAAGGGGAGATCGTTAGTTCTGATGGCTGACGTGCTCCCTTCCAGAAGGATGTCAGTGAGAAAGGCATTCGGTGTCCAGTGAGGGCGAAGGTCACGGGTGACCCGTCCCGAGGGTGGCGGACTCCGCTACCTGCCCAGGGCCATTCGGGGAACTCAGGGCGTGCCGGATGTCTCCCTCTGCCTTGCAGCAACCGCACCGCATGCCCCTGCCTGGCCCGCCCCTCTTCCTCTTCTACCAGCTTCTAAGCCTCCACAGTCTCGCAGCTGTGAACTCTCCCGGAATCGTAAAAGGTCTCCCTGGGATACCCTGAGCTCATGAGCCACTTGTGCGCGAAGGACTTGGTCCTGCAGACCCGCCGCGGATTCCCAGCTGACCTTGACCTTCTCAGCTGTAACCGAGGCACCCGCAGGACGCAAACCCTTTCTCCTGGGCGCTCCAGACCTGCGCCGGGAACTAGGAGGGAGCCTGCGAATTGCGCTCTGTTGTGCAAAGAAAAACAGGCAGAGCCTGCCACCTTGTGGCGGCCTCTGGTCCTACAGCAGCTCTCTCAGACCCAGCGCAGAGGAGGACCCCACCCCCACCCCGGGGACAGGGCCGGGCCTGCTGGATGAAGGGTGGGGGCTTCTGGTTTTCCTCCTGTTGGTTTGCCTGGCCGAGACGGAAGCGGGCAGAAGTCTGGAGCTGGACCAGGAGCAGATCTTGCATGGGGACACTGGTTGTCACCTTGGAGCAGACTTGGCAAAACCTGCTCACGTGTCTTTCACCGGAGCTCACCTCCTCCCCAGGCGGTCTCCTGGGCTCTGACCTTGTCCCTGCGCAGGACCATCCCAGAACAAGGAAGACAGCGCAGCTTAGAGCAGACAGCGTGTCCTCCGAGACCCACCAGCCACTCGAGAGCAGCTCGGCCGCCCCTGCTGCCGGATGCGACCCCACTCGGCACACAGAGCGGAGGCCGCGGGACAGTGGAGCAGCTGGGAGCCTGGCTGTGCCTCCTTGGGGGGCCGGCCGAGTAGTTCCTAAGCACCAAGGCCAAGGACACGGGCTCCGGAGCCTCGCAGAGCTGAGCCCCATGACCACCCTGAGCGGATTCGCTCACCCCTCACAGGCGCACCGGGCACGGCGACACCCTCCCCTGCCATGGCGAGGACCTAGCACGCACTGGCACGCAGACGGGTGCGGAGGACAGCTGTGATCGCCGCTGTTTGTTCTTCAACCGCTGCAGCCAACACTTCACTGCGCCTTGGAGGTCAGCGTGTAACAGCGAGAGGGCCGCTCGGCTCCTGGCTGTTTTGTGTGCTGCGTCTCAGACCTCGAGACCCGGGGGCTCGTTCATTCTCACAGATGTTTCCTTTCCCCGGTTCCCGAGGTGGAAAGGCCGGCAGATTTGCGCTCTAGTGAAGAGCCTCGTTTTTCTCCCCACATCCTCACAAGGTGCTCCCTGCCATTTCTAGGATCACACAACCCCTTCCCTAGAGGTTTGTCGCCAGGGCCTAACCATCCCCCGAATGTCCCCTCCTAACACCATCACCTCGGGGCTCAGGTTCAGTCCTCGGGCCCACGCAGCACAGCGGACTCGGTTCCTAGTAAGGCTCCCTGCCTGGCTTTAGATACCTCCTTTCTGCTCTGTCCAGACAGTCAGACAGGCAGGCAGACAGATAGACAGGCAGACAGGGCACTCTGGTTTCTCTTCCTCTTCTAAGAAGGGCACTAACACCATCAGGAAGGCCCCACTCTCAAATCCTCACCCAACGCCAACCACCTCCCAAGGCCCCGCCTCCAAATGCTGTTACCCGGGTCTCAGGACTTGAACACGTGGACTTTGCCTCAGTGTAAAGGCTGGATTTCTCTGCTCCCAGCTTCCTCATGCCCAGCGCTTATCTCCACTGTTTTTGCAGTGATGTGAACGGCAGGAACGTCCCGCCCACGCCTTGCCCCAGCCCAGCTGGCCAGGAGAAGCTCAGCCCCGATGCCCAGCTAGAAGCCAGGTCTGTGTCTCCTCCACCACCTCCCAGCCGTGACAGCCCCTGCCTCGGCAGAGGGGCCTAGAAGTCATCCATCGGCTCCCCCCGTGACCTGAGGGTCCTTCCAGGCACTACACAGGAAGAGCCCAAGGCTAGCCTCACTCTGGTCCCCAGGGAACCCCTGGAACCTCGAACATTTCGACCTGCCCACCCCAGGGCTGGGGATCTCCTGGGGCCTTGGCGCCTTGGGCTGTGGAGTAGCTTCATGGGAAACCTTGACAAGAGCCAACCCCGGGGCAGGTCCTGCCAGCCACCAGCCCCCTGCAGATGCCGCGCCCCCGAGTGGCCCAGTGGCCTCCAGCCGCCCACTTCGGGCTGAGCAGAGTTGCCCAGGCTTCTTGCCAGGGCGCTGTCTGTGCCCTTGGGCTGGAACTGCCCACCCACCTACTCACACTGGGGCCAAGAGTGCAGGCCAGGAGAGCGTGGCACTGAGCTACGCACACCAAAAGCACCTCTGAGGGCTAGGGGCACAGCCTTTGCCCAGCAAAGCACCAGAAAGAAGGGAAGAAGGAGCGGGGAAATCACTTCTGCCTCAGAGGTGGAGCATCGACATTGGCACCAGGGGTTTGGCACCAGGGGTATGAGGCTGGAAGACTGCCAGAGCCAGGGGGCAGCCTGCTCTGATTTTCTTACGACCGACCATGATGCGATCCAGGCAGCAGAGGACGCCTGTGTCCTCCCTCCCTGTGGGAACTTCCTGTAAGCCCCAGGCGACTTCCGATAGCAAATCTCACTGACCACACGGAGCCGCAAAGGAGGTTGGGAGGTGTGGGACTTTGAGCTGTGGCAACTTAGCTAAATTCAGTTCTGTTAAGGAGAGACAGGGAAATAGCGATCTCTGCCTTGGGAGCAGAGAGCTCAGCCATGATGGGGGAAGCAGATATTTAGGGGCGACATCCTAAAAAATCACAGGTAAGTTGGGGGTAGAAAAAGAAATGGGTAAAATAAGGGTGATTTGGGAAAGACCAGGGAAGAGTGGTCCAGAGGGAAAAGCCAGCTGCAGCAAAGGACCAGAGGCTTGTCATAGTCAGGGAACAGAAAGGGCAGGGAATATGGCTCAGCGGCACAAGCGCCTGCCTGAAAAGCACAAGGTCCTGAGTTTGATTCCCGGTACCAAAAAAAAACAAAGAAAGGGCAGGGGACAGAACACACAGGACTTGGGAGGTCAGGGGACAGGGTTTGAATTTTATTTAAGAGTGATGCAAGCTACACGTAGTGGTACACACCTGTAATCCCAGCACTGGGGAGGCTGAGGCAGGAGGATCACTATGAGTTTGAGGCCAGCCTGGACTACATAGCAAGACCATCTCAAAAAAAAAAAAAAAAAAGGTGATGCAAAGGGTTAAAGGCAGGCATACCAGGGCCCAGCCTGCAAGATAAAAGTTAGTGTGGTTGTGACACAGGCGGGAGCAGGGAAGAAGGACCCGGCTGTAGTGGCGCCAGGCTTCCTGCCTGAGGCGGAGTCATCACCTGGAGATGCGCTCTGCAAAGGTGAATCCAGTCACAAGCTGTAGTCAAGTGTGGCGTGTGCTTGTCCCCAGCATCCCCGAGAGGCCGATGTCAGTCCCTCTCACTGGAGACAGCCGGACAGACTCCGACATCCTGGCGTTCATCAGGGCCAGACAGAGCCTGCTGCAGAAGAAATGTAAGTGCAGCTCCCACAGCGGCTCCACCGGGCCGGGGCTTCTGCTCAGCTCCCCAGCACCGCGGGGAGGGGAGGAGCCAGAGCCACAGCCGGGCGGAGGCCGGCAGGACTGACCGCAGTCACCTGGGGGCGGGGTCAGAAGCGCTAATCCCGCCTGGGTGGTGGCCCGGGTGGTCCAACTGCTCTTGGCAGAGCCCTGGCCCTCTGCCGGATCTCCAGCTACTCTTGTCCTGTGTCCCCAAAGTCCAACAGGAAGAGGCTGCATGACGGCTGGGTGACCGGCTGCCTCCCCGTCATCCCAGTCTTGTGTGAGGACCCGTGTCCTGCGGCCCCCCAGTCGGCGCTGAGCGCTCAGGACCCGTCCTGGGACGGAGCTGGTCCCGCCCCTCCCTCTGTCCGTCCGCAGCGTCAGCCGCCCTGGCCCAGGCTGCGTGTCCCCAGTACAGGGGGACATCAGACCTCGGGGGGGTCGGCAGCCGCACGGCCGGGGGTCCCCAGTTCTGTCCCTACTGGCCTGGCAAAGTCAGACCACAGGTTGACAACTGTCCTGGCTAGAACTCAAGGACCCGGGTTCTCAATCCGGAGACCCCTCCTCCCGGCGCAGCCCCGAGGGGCGACAGCGTGTGGTCCGCAGGCCCCACCCAGAAGGGTAATTAAACTGCAGCACGCAGCAAGGACGCTCCAGGGGATCGTGTGGGGGCGCCCGTTGGAGCCCACACGTGACCCCCGCCCAGAGAAAGGAGACTCGCAAACAGCAGAGGAGGCGGAGCCTGCGGGGGAGGGTACACGTGGCTCCTGGGGGGTCAGGACACAGGCCAGAGGGCGTGGCCAGCAGCCTCCTCTCCTCCCCCGCATTCCCGGGTGAAGTCAGCGCCCTCAGGCACAGCCTCACCTAGGGCACCCGTCTCCTTTCAGGCCTGGGGAGCAACTGACTCCGGTGGGAGTCGGCCACGTCCCCTGCGGGAGTGAGGAGCCCACGACGACGCATGCCCCGTCCCTGCCCCAAGACTTCGGATGTGACCGCGGCGCTGGGAGCGGCTGTGGATTTGAACCCAGAGGAGGAGGCGGTGGTTCTTTCAGGATGGAGGCTGGGAGGCTGGGCTGTGGCCTAGTCCGTCCTCCCTGTGCTTGTGGGAGCTGCCAGCCAGCCCAGGCAGTGCCGGGGAACTGGGACAGCGGGAGGGCTTCAGCTCACTGTGGGGGTGCTGTGGAGCAGCCTCAGAAAGGTGCAGGGTAATAATCCGTGACCAGCCACTCACCCCACTGCCCTGCCACCCCTGGGAGGAGCCCAGCAGCTGCAGCAGGCCGAGCAGGGCTTCAGAGCCCAGCCAGACAGCCAAGTGCAGGGTACTGGGGGGCCAAGCCCGATCTCCCAGCCCGACCTCCACGGTCCCCCGCCTGGGCCTGCACGGCCAGCTGTGTCCCCAGAAGCCAGACACCATCCAGAGTCTCAGGACACCGCAGCAGCAGAGGACAGCAGGCAGCTCCCGACAGCTCTGCAGAAACGGGCAGTGGGGCGCCTCGGGCCCCAACTTCTACCCAACCACTCGGCTCAGCCGGACAGGATCCCCGACTCCCCATCCCCACAGGGAAACAGCTGCCCACGGCGCCACCTCAGGGAGCCCCCCAGCCCACAGGCACCAGCGGGGGACTCAGGGACTTCGGTCCAGAGAGTGGGCACCAGGCCTCCGGGAGGCCCTGAACAACCGCTGCGGGCATCGGGGGTCAGCGATCGGGGTGGGGCGTGGAGGGTGGAGAGGGGTTGCCCTGGACGTGCGGGCAGCTGAATAAATGCCTGTGCAGAGCTCTGGGTGTCGGTCCAAGACACAGCACCCGGCAGCCCCAGTGGCAGAGAAAAGGTAGCATGGTAGAGTGTGGCTCTTTCCTTCTCAGGACTGGGTGAAAAGATCATGCAGGAGATGAAATCTTTCTGTCTCGAAGCTAGGCGGGCCCAGCAAGCGCCTCTCATCCACACCTCAATTTATGTAACACGCAAGCTGGAGCAAACGGGGCCCCTCCTTGCCGTTTCTGTCTCACTAGTGGCCGATGTCCCCACCCCAGGGCTGCTCCCGATCACCCCGCTGGAGCAGCCCCGGCCCCTCTCCTTCCCTTCCTTTTATTTCATCTTCTCTCTCTCCCGGGCACTTCTTCCTCTTCCGGGTGTTTTCGTAGCACAGCCGCTCCCACCCCCGAAAGACTGCAAGCCCGTGACAACAGGACCTGCCTGTCTTGGTCACCGCTGTGTCCCCAGCACTGAGCCTGTCCTGAATAACAGTCCCTCCATCCAGGAGCCGCAGAGCCAGGGCCGGACCTGCTTCCAAACCGGGGTATCTCCCTGAATTCGCTGGGCGCAGAGACTGGGACCCATAGGGAGGAGTCCTGCCCCGCACAGTTCTGTGCACACAGTAGGTCCTCAGGAGAGTGTGCAGACGGGGAAACCAGTCAACCCCCGGCGGCCCGACTTTGGAGGCTCCCCAAACGCACACGTGCACTCACAGTCAGTGATGTGGAACGTTCCAGAGCCCTCCATGAAGCAGCTCCTGTGTCCGACGCACCCCGGTGCCCCTGGCCCTTTGGAGCTGGCTGACCCAGTGACCGTGGACCTCCCACCGAGACGTTATCTCCTGGATCCAGGGCCCCACTGACAGATGTGCAGGGCGGCCCCACCGGCGGGCAGCCAGCCTCCGGGGCAGTCACTAAGGTGGGAGAGGAAGTGGGAGCAGAGGAAAACAGGGACAGCGTCCCATGGGTCAAACCCCGCTGCCCACAGCGGTCACCTCTTACCGAGCACCTGGGCCGCCCCCTTCTCCCCCTGTCCCTTCCTGCTCCCTGCGGGCGTCCTGGGGCCTCTGCCCAGCTGGACGCATCACGCCGCGTCCGGATCTGCTGTGAGGAGCCCCACTTAGGCAGGGGCCTGCGGTTCACGAGCGGGTGTGGAGCTCTCGAATCAAGCCCCAAGGCTGGGGAAAGCAGGACAGCCCCCCACTCCACCAGACCCCCAGCTGTGCTGCCGCTCAGGGGAAGAGCTGGTGTGAGGACGGAAGCCTGCTTTCTCCCATGCACATACGCACGTGCACACACACACGTGCACACACACACGTGTGCACACACACCCACACAGCAGTCACTGAACCAGACCAGAGCCAGGCTCGTGTGCCTGTGGGGTCCACACTCCCATGGGCCCTCATCCCTGCGTCCTCGCAGCTGCGCGGGGCAGGCCGGGCCTCCTCCAAGTTCACGCTCTGGTCACACGGGTGGATGAAGACACCGTGCAGCCCCACCTCCACCCCACACCCCACCGTCTCTGGGGGTCCCCAGTGTGCCCCAGGCTCTGCCCAGGACTTGCTGCCTCTCAAGCTGGGACTGCTCCTGTCTCCTGCCCGTTCCCTGACAAAGCGGGCTGGGCCGGGCGGGCCTTAGTCGCCCTCTGGGCTCCAGCTGGGCCGGGGTCCCTCTGCCTCTGTGCACACACGCGCACTGAGCGCCGCGAGCGGAGGCCTGCGTCACTGGCCGCGGGCGGCCTGGCCTTTCCCTATCTCCGGCTGCTCCAGATGGAGGAGGCCGGGCCGCCCGCTCTGTTTACTCTGCGTTCTCTGCCCAGTGTACACCACATTGATCTCGGGTTTGGTTTTTCTTCTTTTTCCTCCGATCTCCCCATTAGCTCAGCCTCAGAGAGCCCCTTATCGCCTCCGGATGTCAGGCGTGGGGCTGCCCGGCCACATGGATCCCCCATTAATTGATTCTGCCCTTCCTGGGGAAGCTCAGGTTGGCCCTGCCCATCATCAGCAGCAGCAATTCCTGGAAGGAGCCATAAATCACACCGTGTCGGGGGAGACGC